GTCCCTACTAAAAATACAAAAATGAGCTGATGGCTGGCTTAAAAAAGGAAAAAAAATTAACCAGGCATGGTGGCGGGTACCTGTAGTCCCAGCTACTCAGCAGGCTGAGGCAGGAGAACCACTTGAACCCAGGAGGAGGTTTCAGTGAGCCAAGATCGTGCCACTGCACTCCAGCCTGGGCAACACGGCAAGACTCAATATCAAAAAAAAAAAAAAAAAAAAAAAAAAAAAAAAGACAAAAGGAAAACTGCAGTAAATACATAAACCAGTAACACAGTCATTTATTGGCTGGGCATGGTAAGTCACTCCTATAATCCCAGCACTTTGGGAGGCCAAGGCGGGTAGATCATGAGATCAGAAGTTTGAGACTAGCCTGGCCAACATGGTGAAACCCCATCTCTACTAAAAAAAATACAAAAATTAGCCAGATGGGGTGGCACGTGCCTGTAATCCCAGCTACTTGGGAGGCTGAGGCAGGAGAATCACTTAAACCCAGGAGGCAGAGGTTGCAGTGAGCCGAGATCGTGCCATTGCACTCCAGCCTGGGAGAGAGTGAGACTCCATCTCAAAAAAAAGAAAAGAAAAAAAAGTACAGTCATTTATTATCAAGTATTATGCACAGATGTGGAGAACAGTACAGAATTACTATCCTCCACATCTTGTCCTATTGTAGGGTGTTCCGGGGCAAAAGAACCAACTAAATGTTTTTAACTTTTAACTAACTCTTGTAATAACACTTAGCTTAAATCACAAACATATTTTGTAGAGCTGTACCAAAAACAAAAATTTATTTTTGAGGTCAGGAGTTTGAGACCAGCCTGACCAACATGGTGAAACTCTGTCTCTAATAATAATACAAAATTAGCTGGCCATGGTGGCACATGCCTGTAATCCCAGGTACTCAGGAGACTGAGGCATAGAAGAAAGAACAAGACACTGTCTCTGTCCTTCAAAAGAACATATAGGATAAATGACACGTGGGCTTTGCTTTCAAATGGTCCACCAAGCCTGGGCAACAGAGCAAGACTCCGTCTCAAAAAAAAAAAAAAAAGATGTCCACCAAGCTGAACACAGTGGTTCACCTTTGGAATCCCAGGACTCTGGGGACCAAGGCAGGAAGATGACTTGAGCCCGGGAATTCAAGACTAGTCTGAACAACACAGAGAGCCCCATCTCTACAAAAAAAATTTTTTTAATTAGCCAGGGATGGTGGCACACCTGTAGTCTCAGCTACTCAGGAGGCTGAGGTGGAAGGATCACTTGAGCCTGGGAGGCTGAGGCAGAGGCTGCAGTGAGCCATAATCTGGCCACCATACTACAGCCTGAGTTACAGAGTAAGACACTGTGTCCAAAGAAAAAGAAAAAGAAAAAGAAAAAAAAAGTTCCATCAAAAAAAAAAAAAAGCCAAGGTATGGGAGGAATGAAATAACACTGGCAAATGTTCACTGTTAAATTAAATTTGGATGATGGGGGCAGCACAGGATGGGGTGGTGAAAATATTATTTGTTTATATCTGAAATTTTACAGAAGTTTCGAAAATTACATACAAAAACAAATCAAAGACTTGTTGAGTGTGGAGAAGGAGGTTGTATGTATATGTGAAATAAATGAACAGACAGTAGGATAAAGAGCAGTCAATCATAGGCGGTCAAGAAATATATCCCAAAGGCAGTGACAAGCAAAATATTGAGAAGACTGGGAAGGAGAATGGGGGTTGGGGGTGCTGCACAGGGAGTGATTCCAAGAGAACAGTAAGTAAAAAGGCTCTGAGGAAAGAAAGCCTGTTCACCATGTTGGCCAGGCTGATCTCTAATTCCTGATCTCAGTTGATCCGCCTGCCTTGGTCTCCCAAAGTGCTGGGATTACAGGCGTGAGCCACCACACCTGGCCAGCTGAAGGATTTTTAAAAGCTGCAAACAGGATCAGAATTTTACTTTAGAAAGCTCACTCCAGCTACCGCGTGAAGAACAGATTAAAGAGGGCAAGACTGAAGGCAAGGAGACCAGTTAGAATATTGTTGCTATGGGCCGGGCGCGGTGGCTCAAGCCTGTAATCCCAGCACTTTGGGAGGCCGAGGCGGGTGGATCACAAGGTCAAGAGATCGAGACCATCCTGGTCAACATGGTGAAACCCCGTCTCTACTAACAATACAAAAAATTAGCTGGGCATGGTGGCACGTGCCTGTAATCCCAGCTACTCAGGAGGCTGAGGCAGGAGAATTGCCTGAACCCAGGAGGCGGAGGTTGCGGTGAGCCGAGATCGCGCCATTGCACTCCAGCCTGGGTAACAAGAGCGAAACTCCGTCTCAAAAAAAAAAAAAAAAAAAAAAAAAAAAGAATATTGTTGCTATGGCCAGGAACAGTGGTGCATGCCTGTAGTCCCAGCTACTTGGGAGGCTGAGGTGGGAGGATGGCTTCAGCCCAGGAGTTTTGGGCTGTAGTACAATATGCTGATTGGGTGTCCGCACTAAGTTCGGCATCAATATGGTGACCTCCCGGGAGCAGGGGACCACCAGGTTGCCTAAGCGGGGGTGAACCAGCCCAGGTCTGAAATGGAGCAGGTCAAAACTGCTGTACTGATCAGTAGTGGGATCACGCCTGTGAATAGCCACTGCACTCCAGCCTGAGCAACAAAGCAAGACCCCATCTCTAAAACAAAAAAAAACAAAAATAAAAGACTGTTGCTATGATATACTCCAAGCTAGATATAGAGCACTGTGCTAGGATAGTTCCATTTTGGAACTACTGAGTTTGCAGTATCTATGGAAAAGCCAAGTGGGTAGGTGGATGGATCAAACAGTGGATATGCCTTGCTCTCAAGCTCCAGGTCTATTTGTTTACTTTCATTTCTCATCTTGACTATAAATTCTCTGAGGGAAAGGACCATGTCTTATTTATCTACCTAGAGATGTGGAACAGTACCTAAAACGTAACAGATAATAAATGTCTGTTGAACAAAAACCTATGGGGAAGCAGAGGAAATCCTCCACATAATCCCATGTATTGAAGATCCAATACAAAGGACAGGGGTAGAAAAAAATTCAAGGCAGGATGTATCTAAAAATGTGGCACAGGAAATACTAAAGGGAGACCCTAGTTTCCCACAATTACTCTTGGCTTTTTTACTCAAAATTATACTAGACTTCAGACATTTAAGAAAAATAAGACATTAAGTTCATGTACTTGACTTTGAGGGAGGAGGGGAAGTCCTAAAAGAGGTGATGAAAGAAAACACACATTTATAGGCAGGACAGATAATATTTTACAAAAACTTATAAAAAATTTTTCTGGGGGGCCAGGTATGGTGGCCCATGCCTGTAAACCCAGCATTTTGGGAAGCCAAGGCAGAAAATCGCCTGAGCTCAGGAGTTTGAGACCAGCCTGGGTAACATGGGAAAACCCAGTCTCTACCAAAAATAGGTGTGGTGGCACGTGACTGTGGTCCCAGCTACACAGGAGGCTGAGGTGGGAGGATTCCTCGAGCCTGGGAAGTGGAAGTTTCAGTGAGCCAAGATCATGGCACTGCACTCCAACCTGGGTGACAGAGTGAAACCTTGTTTAAAAAAAAAAAAATCTGAGACTATAGTGAGATAAAGAAAACAGAAAAAATCCCCACTGTAATATAACTGAGTGATGAAAAACACATAAATTAGAAGATGGGAATTGAGAAGAGAAAATATATAATCGGCTCCAGCCTCTGCAACTGGGCTGAGATAGCAGAGACATAGTTTTGTCACCCTCAATTATGCAGAGTAATGTTAAAGACAAACAGATGGGGTTACCGCTGAAAAATGTGGGGCTACAATTATTGAACCACCCAGCAGGTTGTGACAACCGTCTTCCTGGAAGGTAGCATAAAGCTGGGAAGGTCCCAGGAATGAAGGGTGGACACAGAAGAGCTCGTTTATGTGGATCTTGAAGCATGGGAAGAATTTGGGGAGGTTTAGTAGGCGAGGAGAGAGGGTAGGAGACTGCTAAAGCAGCAACTATTACGGGCTAGAAATATTATGCCTTCTTAGAATCAGTGCCTTCACTTGGACAAAATGATGGAAGTTCAAGCTAGAATGGAGGCAATGGGAAAGAGATGAAAAGGAGTGCGCAGATCTGAAAACTACTCAAAGGATAAAATCAACAAGACAGGATAGATTGCTTAGGGAAGTGTATGAGAAAGAAAGAGTTTAGAATGATACTTGAGTGTCTAGATACCAGAACTGAATTAATATTAGATTTCATTCTACGGCAGTCCAAAGGCTCCTTAACCGGGCCTAAAACGCTCTGCATGACCCAAACACTGCCTACCAACCCCACCAGTCTCAACTGTACCCACTCTCTTCCCCTCCACATCTGGGTCCCAGGAACGATGTCCTTCTTTTCAGTTCTTTCCTACCACAGGGCCTTCCCATATGAGCTCTCCTCTGACTGAGCAGCTCCTCCCATCTTCTTTCCCTACCCAACCCCTATTCATCCTTAGGGTCCCAGCTTAAACACCCGTTCCGTTGAAAAATATGTGCCAATCTTCAGATAAGGTTAGAGGCTCCCTGACATTCAATTCTCATGTTGTTTAGCAGCATTTTGTGTATCACCATCACGTCTGTAACCAGAGCGCCTAAAATAGTATCTAACCCTCAGTAAGAGCTCGGTAAATGTGTATTGTTGAATACGTCATTAAGTTAGCAGAAAGAATCCCCAGAACAGATATCGCCAGAGGAAAAAGAGGCGTTAGACTATACAACCAGAGAGTCAACCGGCCTGGAATCTAATCAATTCCTGTGTGCTGACCAATATCCTAACAACAGAAAAATAAGGCCCAATTTTCCCCTGGAGAAACTCATGGCCGGTAAGGGAGAAATATGTGCATCTCGTCCGGACTGGATCCCTTTTCTGCCCGCAGCTCTCCTTCCCTCAACCTCCCTATCGCATTTGCACTACACCGTAATCCCGGAGCACAGGTGCCGCGCCAGCCTCCCGACAGGACAGCGGGCACAAGGACCACCGACTCACCTGGGCCCCGCCCACCGACCCATGGAGCCGCAATAGGCACATGAGCCCGGGCAAATGTGGGGCCGAGCGGTTTGGGGGATGCACCGGAGCAACAGCAGACCCTGTTCGAGGTTGCAGCAAACCGGAAACACTCTCCAGTAGCAGCAGGCGGAGCCGCGGGCCCGAGCTCACTGCTGAGAGACCCCCGGTCCCGCCGGGAACCCCAGCTGCGGAGCCCGCAGTGGGCCCACTAAGAACGGCTGCCGCCATCTTCCCTGGGGCTCCAGTGGTGGCGTGGCGCGATGACGCAAACACACTGCGACGGCCGCCTAGTGGGGAGGGGGTATGGGGAGGGGGCTGCGGCCCTGCGCACTGGGTGAAGGCCAGCTGGACTCGCGGGCTCAGGCTGGGAAGGAGCATGCGCAGGGAGAGCAGTCCGGGCGCCGAGGCAGCCGGGCGCTCAGTTACTAGAGTGATGGCCCGTGTGCTGGCTGTGAGCTGGTCGGAGGCGGTCCCTTGATGTTTAAGGTACACGTGGTCGGGACAAAAAAGGCGCGAGAGTCCGAACGATTTCCATTTAGCGGGCGGAATCCCAAGACACCTTTGCTATAGGAATCAGTAACTCTTTCTCTCTTTTTTTTAAGAGAGTCTCGCTCTGTCGCCCAGACTGGAGTGCAGCAGCACCATCTCGGCTCACTGCAACCTTCACCTCCTGGGTTCAAGCCATTCCCCTGCCTCAGCGTTCCAAGTAGCTGGGACTACAGGCATGTGTCACCTTACTCACCTAATTTTTGTATTTTTAGTAGAGAAGGGGTTTTATGATGTTGGCCAGGCTAGTCTCGAACTCCCGACCCCAGGTGATCCGCCCCTCTCGGCCTCCCAAAGTGCTGGTATTACAGGCGTGAGCCACCGCACACGGCCGAGGAATCAGTAGCTTTCTAGGTAATTCTTGGGGTCTGAAATCACAGACATTTTTAACTACATTTGCAATTTCAGAAATGATATAAGATGTGCACCTTGCAGAAGCCAATTCAAACAATATAGAAAGGCATAATGTAAAAAGGAAAACTGCCTCCCTCCGCAAGGCCCTGCCCCAGGAGTGTGTATACTTTTGTATATTAGTCTATGCACAAACATTTAAATACATAGTCTATTTACAAGATTAGGGTCTGCGTGTGGCTTTTTTTCTTTTTCTTTTTCTTTTTCTTTTTTTTTTTTTTTTTTGAGACGGAGTTTTGCTCTTGTTACCCAGGCTGGAGTGCAGTGGCCGGATCTCGGCGCACCGAAACCTCCGCCTCCCGGATTCAGGCAATTCTCCTGCCTCAGCCTCCTGAGTAGCTGGGATTACAGGCACGTGCCACCATGCCCAGCTAATTTTTTTTTTTTTTTTTTTAGTAGAGACGGGGTTTCACCATGTTGACCAGGATGGTCTCGATCTCTTGGCCTTGTGATCCACCCGCCTCGGCCTCCCAAAGTGCTGGGATTACAGGCTTGAGCCACCGCGCTAGCGGCTTTTTTTCACTCATGGCCTAATTTACACTGTTATTTAAACTGTGTGGTACAAATGAAGTGAGTGCACCATGATTTAATAATTCTGTTGCTGAATTAATATTTAACCGCTGCTCCAGCTTTTTGCTAATATAAACACTGTAATGAGCATACTAATAATACCTCTATTTTTATGTACTTTTGTGATTATTAGATTCAAATCCGAGTCATCATTTTTCCTTTTTTTCCTTTTTTTTTTTTTTTTTAATCGAAAAGGAGTCTCACTCTGCTACCCAGGCTGTAGAGCAATGGCGAAATCTCAGCTCACTGCAACCTCCACCTCCTGGGTTCAAGTGATTCTCCTGCCTCAGCCTCCCAGGTAGCTGGGATTACAGGCACCCACCACAACACTGGGCTGATTTTTGTATTTTTAGTACAGACGGGGGTTTCACCATGTTGCCCAGGCTGGTCTCGAACTACTGACCTCAGATGATGCGCCTGCCTGGGCCTCACAAAGTGCTGGGATTACAGGCCTGAACCACTGAGTCTGGCCCATTTTTTCTCTTACTGCCTTCTATCCAACCCTTCAAGTTCTGGCATTCCGCTCCAAAATACATGAACCCAATAGCGTCAATTTCTCTCCATCTCCACTGCCACTCTCACCTCGTCTCTTACAATAATAGCCTCTTACAAAGCCTTCTTCTACTCCCCTCTTGGCACCTTTTAGTCCCTTCACACAGCAACCAAAGTGGTCTTTTCAAATGTAAACCAGTTCTTGTCACTCCTTGCTTAAAGCCCTTCTGTGGCTTCCAGATGTAATAAGAATGAAATCCCATCTCCTCACTGAGGCCATGGTAATTCATATGTGTCCCCATCAATTGGCATAGTGAATAGCAAAAAATAGTCATGGATGGCCGGGCGCGGTGGCTCATGCCTGTAATCCAGCATTTTGGGGGGCCGAGGTGGGTGGACCACAAGGTCAGAAGTTCAAAACCAGCCAAGCATGGTGGCTCACTCCTGTAATCCCAGCACTTTGGGAGGCTGAGGCAGGCAGATCACCTGAGGTCGGGAGTTCGAGACTAGCCTGGCCGACATGGAGAAAACTCATCTCTACCAAAAATACACAATTAGCTGGGCGTAATGGCGCATGCCTGTAATCCCAGCTACTCGGGAGGCTGAGGCAGGAGAATTGCTTGAATCCGGGAGATAGAGGTTTTGGTGAGCTGAGATCCCGTTGCACTCCAGCCTGGGCAAGAAGAGTGAAACTCCATCTCAAAAAAAAAAAGAATCCACCCAGTCTGACCCATACCCACCTCCCTGACCTCAACATATGCCACAATTACCACTTTACCTTTTTCTTCCTGTTCCTGAGCCAAACTAGCCTTCTTTCTATCCTCCAGCAAAGCCTATTCCCACATCAGAAGGTTTACACATGCTGCTGATTCTACTGGAGACTGTCCTTTGATTCTGTGTAACTGACACTATCTTGCCATCCTGAGAGGGCTTCTTTTTAGGTAGCTCCCACTCCAACCCCCATCAGCCTCCGTTACATTTCCCTGCTTAGAATTCGTATCATTACCAGAAATTTATTTGCTTTTATTTATTCACTATCTCTTTTGTCTAAAATACAAACTCCATAAAAGGGCTCTTGTCTCCTATACTATGCTATTCCCATCACCTAGAACAGTACCTGATGCTGAAAAAATATTTCCCCTGGCTGGGGTGCAGTGGCACAATCACAGCTCACTGCAGCCTTGACTTCCCAGCTCAAGTGATCCTCCTACCTCAGCCTCCCTAGTACCTGGGACTCTAGGCACTAGCCAACCATACTTGGCTTATTTTTAGGGTGTGTGTGTTTTGTTTTTGTTTTTGTCTTTCGAGACAGAATCTTGCTCAGGCACCGGGCTGGAGTGCAGTGGCACGATCTCGGCTCACTGCAATCTCTGCCTCCTGGGTTCAAGCAATTCTGCCTCAGCCTCCCGAGTAGCTGGGACTACAGGCGCGTACCACGACGTCCAGCTAATTTTTGTATATTTCAGTAGAGACAGTTTCACCATGTTGGCCAGGATGGTCTCGATCTCTTGACCTTGTATCCACCCGCCTGGGCCTCCCAAAGTGCTGGGATTACAGGTGTGAGCTACTGTGCCTGGCCTGTTTTTGTTTTTTTGAGATGGAGTTTCCCTATTGTCTCCCAGCCTGGAGTGCAATGGCACCATCTCAGCTCACTGCAACCTCCATCTCCCAGGTTCAAGTGATTTTCCTGCCTCAGCCTCCCGAGTAGCTGGGTTTATAGGCTAAATGTCATCATCTTGGTTTTCCTGCCTCAGCCTCCCAAGTAGCTGGGATTATAGGCTAAATGTCATCATCTTGGCCAGGCTGGTCTCAAACTCCTGACCTCAAGTGATGCGCCTGCCTCGCCTTCCCCAAGTACTGAGACTAAGGTGTGAGCCACCATGCCCAGCCCCCTCTGCTTTAAAAACCACTACCGGAAAAAACAAAAATAATTAAAAAATTAAAACCACTACTGGTCCCATGTGTCCTTCTGCAGGGCCCTCAATCTCACTCCTTCATCTGCTATACAAAATCTTCCACAGCCTGTTCCAGGCTTCTTCACCAATACTTCGTAACAGGATACACCTTGTCTTTCTCTTTGAAATGGCCTTTCTCAACTTCTGCCCATCCTTCAGAAACACTGTCCTCAAATGTTCTCCACTTCTAGACAGCCTGCACTCCCTCCACCCTCGCCCTGGCCAAGCACTTAGCTGCTGTGTCTTCTGACTCAGACCTCTGTAATAGCATTCCTGGGATCATAATACCTGTGTATGTGTCTCCTCAGCTATTCTTGGAAGGCAGGGGCCATGGTAATTCATATGTGTCCCCATCAATTGGCATAGTGAATAGCAAAAAATAGGCATGGATGGCCGGGCGCGGTGGCTCATGCCTGTAATCCAGCATTTTGGGAGGCCGAGGTGGGTGGACCACAAGGTCAGAAGTTCAAAACCAGCCTGGCCAAGATAGTGAAACCCTGACTTTACCAAAAATACAAAAATTAGCCTGGCGTGGTGGGGAGCGCCTGTAATCACAGCTATTTGGGAGGCTGAGACAGAAGAATCGCTTCAACCCCGGAGGCAGAGGTTGCAGTGAGCCGAGATCGTGCCACTGCACTCTAGCCTGGGCGACAAGAACAAAACTTGGTCTCAAATAAAAGAAAAAGAAAAATAGGCATGGATGGATGGGTTGATAGATGGATGGATGGGAGCGAGTGAGTGGATGTTACCTGGGATGGCTGGCTGAAGGTGATGGATAGTCAGAGAAATTGGAAAAGGGAACCCTGCAAAGATCAAATGTAGACATCAGAGGGAGCTGACACATTGCTGTAAAGAAGCTGGAGGGCGGGCCACAGAAAGCCGCACGCTCCGAGGCGAGCGGACGAGCGGCGCGCACTGAAGCAAGCATCACGCAACTGAAACGCTCATCCACGTGTGCATCCCCTCATCCTACTTCCCAGACTGCGCTCCAGCTCCTTCCACCGCCCCCAACATCCCCTTCGCCCCCACCGCCACAGAAAAAGCAAACCAAGGGGAGGAGACCCCCTGCAGGTTTTGGATGGCCGGGGCCAATCGAAAGACTTCGATCCCGCTGGAAGGCGGGTGCATTGGTTTAAGGGGGTCCAATCGGTTTCCAAGGGGTTGCGGTGGGGCGGGGAGATGGGCGGGAAGATCGGGGGAGGGCTCCCCGGCTTGGACGCAGCGCGAAAGGCTGGGGGCGGAGCCAATGGGCGCGGGTGTCTGCTAGGAGAGGGCGGGCTGCGCCGCGGCGCGCGCGATCCGGCTGACGCATCTGGGCCCGGTTCCCCCGGACCAGAGCCGGGCCGGGAGGGAGGGGAAGAGGCGAGAGCGCGGAGGGCGCGCGTGCGCAGTGGTACGGGGAGGAGCAGGGA